GTTCGGCTATCCTCATGCGCTCCTCACAAGTTTAACATTTGGGTGCTAACGAACGGGGCTGCCTTCGACGGCATATTGCTAATGGCAGCGGTCAAGTGATTTTACCCATCAGGGCAATATGATCTCGCACTGAGGTCAGAAGACTCTCTAACCGGAAATGTTGAACTATGCCTTCACTCTAGAAGAGTAGGACAATAATAGTCGGCATGCCTAGTATATTATGCATCATGTTGCTTAATGGAGAGTGAGGGAGGTCAACGGCGTTCTCTTCAGACCAACGTTAAGAGTTGTTGCTAAGATGGAGATCAACTTGAAAAGGAGGCTGTCACTATTGAACGCGATTTTTATCCCCATGTCTATGTAGGTAATGAGTCATGGGTCACGATTGTAAAACTGCTGCCCCACGTAAAAATGGAACGGGAAGTTTGTCACAGTTGAAATGTCGGTCTTCTTTCACTTTCATGCTGGGTTATTTTAGCAGCTCTCTTTCAAGAATTAGATGGCACAGTTTTGATCTCCGTTGCTATACCATAAGCCAGGAATGCCTCGTCTACTGCTATTTGGAAAGAGCAGCGTGTAGTTTACTGTTTTCTTCCCACAGAAAGTTACTCATTTACCAACCTGGGTAAGAAGAATTGCGAATGAACCTGACCGCGTCCTCATTCGGAACCTATTAATCCTGAGTTCGACGCTCAACCTCTTCAGCAACTCTGATCTGAAGCAGTGAGTAGTAAATTCATTCATGAAGACAATTCATGAACAAGAAAAAGGTTGCCTTAGAGCGAAACTGAACTCACCACCTCAGGAGTTCCAACCTCTCAAACACTGGGACAAATGAATTAAATGAGATTTCTGAAACGAATCACTGGCCTCACGTGTCTCGACGGAATCCGAGAGGTCATATACTGGAGAGGGCTATGACGTACAACCGTTGCCACACCAGATTGAGAACTCACAGTTGCAACGGTTTAGCTACGTCCGTGAATGCCTTCAGAAAGGATGATAAATGGCTTTAATTTTCCCCACTGATCGACCGAAGACAACGGGGATACTT